GCTGGTCCCGGAGGTGCTCGTACTGGGAGTACTGGAGCTGCTGGGGCTGGTGGTGTTGCTGCTCGCGGTACTGGAGCTACTGGCGGTGCTGGAGCTGCTGAGGGTACTGGAGCTGCTGGAGGTGCTGGAGGTGCTGGAGCTGCTGGAGGTGCTGGAGCTGCTGGGGGTGCTGGAGCTGCTGGAGGTGCTGGAGCTGCTGGAGGTGCTGGAGCTGCTGGGGGTGCTGGAGCTGCTGGAGGTGCTGGAGCTGCTGGTGGGGCTGGTGCTACTCGTGCTGGTGGCACTGCTCAGCCGCGCCGGTTCTTTGCTCTGCCGTCTCCGTCGTCTCAGCCACCACCTGACTCTGCACTTCGCTAGGTTCTCAGTCTTCCCTCGTCTACTAGTCTTCCGTTACAGCCTGGCTCCCCGCTGCCTGCTCCTTCTCCATACACAGAGCAGCCTGGTGGCCTTGCAGAGCGTCGTGAGCCTGCGTCGCGTCCTGTCTCCCCTGTCAGTTCCGGTCGTCGTGTTCCTCGTCAGAGCCAGCCGGCTGTCTCCGGCCCTCCCCTTGTAGTTCGTCGTCCTTCCTCTCCTTCACCGCGTGTTCCTCTGCCGCCTCCCCCTGCGTCCTCTCTGCCTGTCGTTGCTGACCCTGCGTCTGACCGGTTTCGTGCTGAGCACTCTACTGTCACGCGTCTGCTTGCCACTGTTGTCACTGACCCGTCGTTTGAGTCTGCTGCTGCGTCTGCTTTAGTCACTGAGCTTGTTGCCTTTGCTGCTCACTGTCGTCTAGACTACGCCGCCAGTCTTGTTGCTGAGTCTGCGTCTGTCTGTCCTCCGTCCGTCGGGGGTGAGTGTGCTCTTGGCACGGACGTCCTTGAGGACAGGCAGGAGGACCTTGAGTGTCTTGCAGCCGCTGCGCCTCATCTCGTATCCATGCTGCTTGCCCCTGAGGGAGACCCGGATGCACCAAACATCCCTACCCCGCGCTCTTACGCTGAGGCGATCGCAGGTGAGTACTCCTCTCAGTGGCAGACAGCCATGGACGCAGAGATGGCATCCTGGAAGTCCACAGGCACCTACGTCGACGAGGTTCCCCCTCCTGGGGCGAACATTGTCAGTGGCATGTGGATTTTCAGGGTGAAGCGGCCGCCAGGTTCTCCGCCTGTCTTCAAGGCTCGTTACGTGGCTCGAGGCTTCAGACAGCGAGAGGGAGTTGACTTCTTCCAGACCTTCTCCCCCACCCCGAAGATGACCACTCTTCGGGTGCTGCTACACGTTGCCGCTCAGCGTGACTACGAGCTTCACTCTCTTCACTTCAGCACAGCCTTCTTACAGGGCAGCCTGCACGAGGAGATTTGGCTGCGCCGCCCTCCTGGCTTCACTGGGTCGTTCCCTCCTGGTACCCAGTGGAGCCTCCGGCGGCCGGTCTACGGTCTCCGCCAGGCGCCACGTGAGTGGCACGACACACTGAGGACGACACTTGCGGCTCTTGGGTTTGCTCCGTCGACTGCTGACCCGTCGTTGTTTTTGCGCACCGACACTTCGCTGCCGCCGTTCTACGTTCTCGTGTACGTCGACGACTTGGTCTTTGCCACTGCTGACACTGAGGCTCTCGCCCCGGTGAAGTCGGAGCTGCAGAAGAGACACACGTGCACAAACCTGGGTGAACTGCGCAGCTACCTTGGCTTGCAGATCACCCGGGACAGAGCACGCCGCACCATCACACTGACTCAGTCACACATGGTGCAGCAGGTCCTTCAGCGCTTCGGTTTCACCTGGTCCTCAGCACAGGCCACTCCTCTGGCTACAGGTCACTCGCTCTCAGCTCCACCTTCGGACGAGTCCGTAGAGCCGAGTGGTCCTTACCCAGAGTTAGTGGGCTGCCTCATGTACCTGATGACTTGCACTCGTCCTGACCTTGCGTACCCTCTTGGCCTTCTGGCTCGCTACGTGGCTCCTGGTCGGCACCGAAAGGTGCACATGGATGCTGCCAAGAGGGTACTACGCTACTTGTGCAGTACATCGGGCATGGGGCTCGTACTTGGAGGACGGGGTGACGTTGTCCTCACAGGTCACTCGGACGCCTCTTGGGTTGACGACCAGGCTACGCAGCGGTCGTCACAGGGTTACACCTTCAGCCTTGGTTCTGGTTCAGTTTCCTGGCGTTCTACACGTTCATCTTCAGTTCTCGGCTCCAGCTGTGAGGCAGAGATCTACGCCACAGCCATGGCTGCACAGGAGCTGCGCTGGCTCACCTACCTGCTGACCGACTTGGGAGAGCGGCCTCGTTCTCCTCCAGTTCTGTACGTCGACAACAAGGCCGCCATTGCCTTGTGTCAGGAGCACAGACTGGAGCACAGAACAAAGCACATCGCTCTCTGTTACTATCTTGCTCGAGATCTGCAGCAGCGTAGCCAGCTTCGTCTTACCTACGTGGCCACTCGAGCCAACACTGCTGATATATTCACCAAAGCACTTCCGCCTGGTGATCATCAGCGTTTCTGCACTTTGTTAGGCCTTGTGCCCACGCTTCCTCACTTGTTGTAGGCTTTGATTGTACCATTATTTATATGTATTCCTGCATGCTTGTTCTTGTAGGTAGATATCACTGTACTGTTGTTGTTACATATATATCTCTGCATGTGAACTGGCCTTGTGGCCTTCTTGCTTGTGCTCAGACTGCGTGGTGACGTTGTGATCCACCCTGAGTTTGCTTTGCACTTCCTGACTGGTCTTGTGACCCTCTGTTCTCCCCCACTCTGCCTATGGAGGTGTGTCAAACATATGTATATATATGTTATAGTGTGGGTAGGCTTAGTGGGGTACACACTGTGGGGTACAACCCCTTAGTTTTCTTCTTTGTACCAACCCCCTCGATAGTCGACATCACTTTTTCCCTATGATTCTAACACTCGACTCCGGCTGTTTTCTCTCCTCCTTAGTCACGGTCGTCTCCTCTTGTTGTCCTGCACGACTGGACCAGACGTTGTCCTCCGCGTGCTCGGCCCTCGTCTCCTCTTGTCGACCTCCGCGCTGTTTTGTTTCGTTCTCCTCCTCGTCGTTCTCCGCCTGTGTCTGTTCTCCGCTCACCTCCTGAGTCGTCTCTCACCGTTTCATCTCACCCTATCACTGACTACTACCGTGCTGTTCGCCCTGTTGTCTCTCGTGTTCTCGCCTCTCTTGTCACCAACCCTCGTGCCTCTCCGTCGTCTGTCTCGGTTCTTACTGTCGCTGTCGCTGACTTTGCTTCAACCCGCCGTCTTGACTACGCCATACGTGTGGTGGCTGCTCCACCTCCCCGTCCTCCGTCCGTCGGGGGTGAGTCTGCCCTTGGTTGTGACGTCCTAGTGAACTCTTGAACTGACCTTGTGGCTGCTTGCTTGTGCTCAGAATTTGTGTGGTGTCCTTGAGATCCACCCTGAGCTTGCTTTGCTCCTTGTCTTGACTGGTCTTGTGATCGTTTGTTCACCCTGCTTGCTTTGATGCCCCTCACTTAGCCTATGGGGGTGTGTCAAATGTTGAGCATTGTTATAATCGGCTATAGTGAGTAGCTATAGAGAGTACAACACTTTCTAGGTTTGCTATTTGTATCACCCACTTTCATAGTTCATCCATTCCGTTGCTAGCTACTCTTAAGACCATGGTACCAGATGCAGCAAGAGAGCATGGAAGCTACCCAATACGTCAGGTTGTTTTGCAGTATCGGCGCATTCTCCTCTGCTTGTTGACACTACTGAACAGCAAACAGCATCCAGCCAAGCAACCGAGCAGCTAATCCGGGATCCTTGCTTCCTAACTGCAGAAAGCAATCACACACCAGCCATGCCTGCATGTACAGATGCCACACCAGAGCCATCAATCAGTCCGTGTCCCTACTTTTCTTGCCATACGCAGACAGACCCATACTGGCCCAGGCTGACTCTTCTTCAACACTTCCAATTTCAGCAATTACAGGTACCGTATGAAAGGTGAATATCATTTATCAATAGGGTGGAGGATTTATGTAAGTAGTAACTTGAAACGAGGATTTGCATCGACTGGGGCACACGGAGGGCGTATTTCTTTTCGTAATTGCGCAGACCCTGCGATTCTGTAATCGAGCTTTCCGCACTTCCTCCTCGCAAGCACGTCGCGCTAACGCGTACTCAGCGCTAATGAGTCCCTTCCCTAAGCATTTAGGAGACCAGTCGTTTCGCCTCTCTCGTTACCATGTACAAGTTGTTTAAGCTCGCTTCAAAGCCGTCCATGTGACGCGGCTCGCGTCCATGGCTAGGTCCGTACGGCGGCACGGGCGCGCGCGATGAACGAGCGGCCTCCGCCCTCCGCTGGTGACGCTTAAGTAACTCAAAAGCCACCTTGCGATGAGTGAGAAGACCTGGCTCCGCCGTCCGCCTCCGCATCGGAGGGACACGAGCCGTCGCGCTCCGCCCTCAGTTGGATCGAACGTCGCGGCAAACGCGTTTGACCTCGCTGGAGGCGCCGCGAGCATGGCGGCGGCGGTGGCGGCGGGCGTGGAAGGGGATTGGCGTGTCCAGCAGTGTCGGATCGAAGCGAGCCGCGTCGCCGTTTTAAGAGGCTTTTTCCGGTCAAAAGGTTCCATATGTCTACACCTGGCGGTGGAGCTTAAGCTCGTCGCGTGTCTCAAAAGAAGGCGCAGGTTCCGAAGCTGCAGGACATATTTTAGAACTCTCGGGAGCAGCTCTCTCAGTAGCAGCACGCTCGGTAGCATCTCTGACATACTAGTCAGTCCAGGCATTGCAGGCAACTTGCGAGGCGCCTCAAAACTCTCGGTAGCATCGCTGACATGCCAGTCATTCCAGGCGTCGCTGGCGTCGCAAGCAGGGGTCGCAGGATGGGCCGTTACACTGCCATGAGCGGGCGAGGGATTGGTCCGCCAGTTGGCAGCATGCGATTCATGCGACAACTCATGCTCGCCGCAGCTGTCACGGCGACGCTCCTCTCTGTCACTCAGTCCACCGCGGAACCCGCTTCCCTCCTCACCGATCCCGCTTCCACGCATGCTCCCAGTCCCTTGTACTCTACCTCTCAACCGAACTCAACCGCTCACAACTGTACTTGTCCTCCTGTCACCGTGCCTCCTCTTCCCCAACCCATCCCGTGCTCTCCTGATACAGTCACCACGGTTTCAAGCGTACCTACACGCCAGCACAATTCCCACAGGCGCAAAGTGAAACGCAACAACCACAAGGCGACCCTTGGTAATGGCACAATTTCAGGCAGCAATATTATTCCAACCTCTCCACATTCCAACTGCAGCAGCAACAGCAGCAGCAATAGCAGCGAGTGCAACCCTGGTGTGCCCCACGTTGCTGAAACGTCAGCAAAGGGAGACCCGCACCTGATTGGTCGGCACGGCGAGAAGTTTGAATTCCACGGTCAGGATGGTGCGAGCTACTGCCTTGTGAGCGATCGGAAGGTCCAGATCAACATGCATCTGTTTGCTGGCGCCAAGAATGGAAGCACGGTGAGTGAAGAAATACTAAAGATGTTGGCATGTTATGTTAATGAAACACTCTAAGCATGCTGGCTGTGCAAGATTAACATACCGGTAACTACGAGCTTGAAGACGTTACAAACATTAATCTTCGTTCCCCTGCCTTCCCGACAATATAGTTCCTCACCATCATTTTCTCCCTTTCCTGCCCCCCCTGATTTGGTTTTCTTTCACAGTACATTGATGAAATCGGGGTGGTAACCAGCTCAGGCATCCACATCGTCGTTTCTGCACAGTCAGCAGCTGACGTGTCAACTGCGGGGGTGCAGGGCCAGCTGGAGGTGAACAGTGCATCGCTGCCGGATGACATCCTGACCATCGATCTGCTCCGGCATACGGTCAGGATTGAACGGCGCAAGGCAAGCGTGCGGGTGCGCGTGCGACGGGTGGTGGATCTGACGGTTGACATTCTTCCTGACCTCTCACGCAAGTCCCGTCCCAACTATGTAAGCTGCGCCTCATAACAAGTCTGCCTAAAATTTGGCACTTTCATTCTCTGTCTCATAACCTCTTGCAAGTCTCTTTTCCTTCAATATTTTCTCTTTTCCACCTCATTCCCATATGCCAGTGTCTGACCACCACTACAGCTCAATCATGCCAGAATCGCCCATTTCCACCCTCCCCTTCTCCCTCATGTCCTGCAGCTGAACATTCGCATTGCCAGCTTGCATGCATCCCACAAAGTGCATGGCATCATAGGGCAGACGTACCAGGGCTCTGCGACGCGACTGTCCAGGTTCAGTGAATCACAGGGAAAGAACGGCCCAGCAAAAGAGAGGGCCATTATTGATGGCACAGAAAGGGACTACAGGACCTCAGGTATTCTGGATGCTGATTGTAAGTTCCAGCAGTTTCGAAAAGAACGTTCTGGTCACCATCAGAGTAAAGTTACATAAATTATTGGTAACCGCCGCTACACTTCTGTGTGGAGCTGCAGCCTGCAGCCGCTAAGGGTTCATTGTTGCCGTCTCTGACAAAAATAGTTTTCAGTCGCTTCTGGCAAGCTAGATTTGAATGGGCATACCGGTAGTGCCTGCAAATCGAATACCGCCAGCTTATAAGCACGATGCTGCTAGGTAATCCATGGGCGTATGCATTTAACAGTTACATCTCTACGGTAAACTTCCCAGGACATTTGATAGAAACACTAGTACAATCCATAAAAATCCTTTCGTATTTTCAACCACCATTGTGTGGCATTCCAACATGGCTCTGTCCTGCCATGGTATACGGTACCCCACTTGCCAAGAACACAGAGCCATCACTCTGTAACTGAGGCTGAAGAGACAAACATCACTTGCTCCTCTCCACAGGGGTTCTGCCCCATGGAACGTGTTCCCAGGGTTAATTACCCTTGAAAAGCCCAAGCACAGCGTCAATATCCAGGTTGAACTCGCCTTGAGGTGGCAAGTTGTAGGCCGCATACGCTGCTGCTGCTGCCACAGCTACCAGAGCAGCCGACACCACCACGCAGCTCCCTCCTGAAGCCACCTTCCCTTGCAGCTTCCTGGCTGCTGCGTCAGCGCTTTGAATGTCCTTTTTCCGTGCTATTTGGCCCTCATCCAACTCCTCCAATGCCGCAATGTGCTGCGGAGAGGGAGCAGGGGAGGCGGATGGGACGAGGAGGTTAGGAACTAAGTGTGGAGCAAGAGAGTGTGGGGGAAATGAGAGGCTAGGAATCGAGCATAGGAGAATGGGTGAGCATAGGATAATGGGCGCATGAGAGCATGAACATGTGAGCATGGGAGCACAGGGGCACGGGAGCACGGGAGAACAGCAGGCACGCAGACTCACAGCAAGCAGCACGCACACTGCACAGCAGGCAAAACACACCTTCTTGCGGATGGAGGCAAGGAACTTGCGCAGCGGGTCAAAGGGCGCGAGCTGGGTCTTGACAGTGGGCCATGAGCGCAGCACGTAGGTGAGAAGAAGCATGCTCGTGGCATGATCCTCAGCGTGATGCCGCTCCTGCCAGGGAAACGCACAGGCAGACATGGTTTTTTCATCGAGTTGAGTTAAAACGGTGGGTCAGCAGACGCGTGCTCGTGGCATGATCCTCAGCGTGATGCCGCTCCTGCCAGGGCCACCACATACAACTCATGCAGTCAGGCACAAGTCATGTGTGTGACCGACATGGCTTGTCCCAAGCCAAGTGTGTGACCGACATGGCTTGTCCCAAGCCAAGTGTGTAGCCGACATGGCTTGTCCCTCTCAACTCGAGTGGAGTAAGGTACAGATAGGAGAGGAGGCTGAGGGTACAGATGTCCAGGTGAAAGCGAGGGCCACCTTAATTGAACAAGAGACTGATAAAATGAGACGTTGAGCAGCACTAGAAGTTATGTGGCGCGTCAAAAGAAGATAGGAGCACTCACCCATTGCAGGTAGCAGTCAGGGTTCTCTGCCAAGCACCACACGAAGAGGCTGCTCGCCTCCTGGGTGAGGGCCTCAGGCTCTGCGAGGAGAGAGGGTGGCGGGCAGGACAGGCGGGCAGGACAGGCGGGCAAGAGGCAGCACAGGTTGTGAATAAGAGCAAGCACATGTGTACGACATGCACAGTAGGCTACTAAACCCCCCCAAGTGCTGAATGGCACGCCCTGTCCAGCGTTCTCACTACTAGTACCCTACCCGGGTTAAAAGCAGCTGAAAACACGGACCCATTCACCTGCACCTTCACATGCATTCATGCACCCATACCTTCACATGCCCCCGTACCTTCACATGCACCCATACCTTCACACGCACCCGTACCGTCACCCATAACCCCACCAAGACCCATGCCCCCACCCGCATCCGTACCTTCCCCTGCGGCTCGGAACATCAGCGGAAGCAGCATCGTGGCGACAGCCTTGGTGGACTTGGTTCGGCCCGAGCCTGCGAGCGTGATGTCCTTAAGCAGGGGATACAGAGCGGTGAAGCGGTCAGTGGCCTTGGTGCGGGCGGAGGCGGGAGGGAAGGCGAGGCGCAGGAACTGGTCGAGGGTGGAGAAGGGCACCAGCCGCTCGCCCTTGCGGAACGCCCCGTTCAGCAGTACCGCCCTCGCCTTGCGCTCATTGCCGCGCAGCAGCACGCTGATGGGTGAAAAGGGGGGGGTGGGGGGGGGCAATGGTTGGAAGCAGGAGGGGGGAAAGGGGGCAGTGGTTGGAAGCGGGAGGAGGGAAAGGGGGCAGTGGTTGGAAGCGGAAAAGGGGAAAGGGGGCAATGAGGAGAAGCGGGAGGCGAAAAATGGGGGGAGGGAAGGGGAGGGGGGCTACTGAGGCGCCACAGAAGCACCGCCTCAGAAGGAAATGGACTGGGGAAAAAGGGCAAAACGAAGCGACCTAGAGATGGTAACATACTCACGTTTGGAAGTAGGTGAGAGTGACATCACGGCCCACAGGCGAGCCCGGCTTGCCCGATGTGAAGGGCATGAGATTGCTGACCAGCAGCGCCATGCCCGATACCAGATCCACCACTGCCACCTGGCACCCACGTGGCAATCATATAGCGGAGGTTGGGGTTGGGGGGGGGGAAAGTTGTGGGGTGGCGGGGGGCGTATAATTGAAAAAAGGATGATAAATCAGAGAGGTCACAGAGCTGGATTGAACATCTTTTGCAGCTGACCAGCACCATGGACAGAACGAGGCAGTCAGCGAGGACGGAAGGGAGGAAGGGAGGAAGGGAGGGACGGAGGAAATCAGGAAGGGGGAGGACGCACCTGGCCGTACATCCAGGCGAGCACGGGCAGCCTGTCCTGGCCGAGGCAGCCAGGGTCGGTGCGGATGGAGTCGGCCGCTTGTAGCATCACGTCCGGCCGTCGCCTCAGCAGCAGCACCAGCAGCACCAGCATGCCAACCTGCAGGGAGTTCAGACCCAGTGCATGAACGGTTCTTTGGAACTTTCTTTCTGTAATTCTTGATGAACGAGGCTTTCACTTTCTGGTTGTTCCTTTATGGCCCAGTTTGCCTCTCTCGGATAAAGAAAAACCCGGATGAGGAGAAACCCATGACTTATTTCGTGTTTCCCGGACACAATTTTTACAACAATCCCAAGAAACGGGGAAACAATACGAGCCAGTCGTAAGTTTCGCACCTTGGCTTTCGGCGGCGTCAACGGCTGTGCGGCGGTTCCCTTGGCCACCTTGCCGACTGGCAGCACATCCTCCAGCGCAGATCGCACTAGGGTAACCAGAAACTTCGCTAGCGCGTCGGCAGGCCGCTCCGCCAGCCATTCAGAGGCGGTTGTGCGAACCTCCTCGGGAATGTCATTCCAAGGTAACTGCAGGGAACAGAATGTGCTTAGATCGAGAGTGATGCCATATCAACGCGGCCTATTCGACGTCATGCAAAAACGAAACAGGCACTGATCGGATCTGCGTAGTCGGATTTGCATAAAACAGAGGAATCGAGCGGAGCGACTCACGTCAAGCGCTTTCGCCAAGCTGGAATCTCGGATGATCTTGGGGATGTTGAGCTGCGATGGAAGGACCGCGCTGAAGGCTCGTGCGAAGAAATCCGCACAACGCATTAGCTGCACATCAGGCATGCCTGCGAAAGAATCCTGAAATGATGCAAAGAGTAAAAAAAGGGTTGATAGAAAGAAAGCGCAACAGAGACAGACAATGAGCACCGGTGGATAAACATCCGATCTGGAACGAGTAGATATCGTGAAGACACTTCTGCAACGCGATGAATTCGAGCATATCCCGCCTAATGTCCCCAAATCTAAGAAATTCAGTGCAATAATGTGACGTCAGCCACTGAAATGGGTGAGGAATGTCGGAACACACCGAGATCTCGATAAGGAACGCGGACAATTCGTCCACTTTAATCGCTGTCGCGGCCTCGAGAACGGTAACTTTGGGCTTCTTAGGTTTCTTGGGCTTCTTAGGCTCTGCTGCTGCTGGAGCCTTGGCTTCCCTCTCCTCGTCATCATCATCATCATCGTCAGCGTCGTACTCTGCACGCTCCGTTTCCCGCTCGGCTGCTTCAGCAGCCGCTGCACGAGCTTCGATCCTCGCTCTCCTCTGCATCGATTCATCCTCCAGCGACGAAAACACGGATTGGCCGATCGACCCTTTTCCACCTGCAGATTTTCCCGCAGCTGACGGCTTCTTCGAATCTTTCTGTTCCTGGCGTCGCTGCTTCTTAACATTAGTCACCTTCTGCCATCCGTGGTTCTCAGATTGCACCACACGAGGCTCGTCCACGAAATCTGCCATCTTGTATTGCACTAGCTCAGGCAAAACCGAAAGCAGACTAGTACAGCAGCAAACGAATCCACGTAGATCTACGTCAGGAAAATTAAGTATACGAACAGGCTCAAACGGCTGGATCCGTCACCTAACCAATTCTGGATACTGGAAATCAGAAGAAAAACTAGTACGGATGTCTCCCAAGACCGAATCTGGTCGGTCGAAATTCTCAAGGGAGGAAAACAGTTGGAGCAGAGGTGCAGCGTTGTTGTTCAACTCTGCGACCGAGCTGCCAAGGGATGGCTGTTCCCGCCTTTTTGCCGCTTGCGCTCCTGGGCTCCGTTTGTGTACCAGGCATTAGTGTTAATATCGCCAAGTGCAAAAAACAGAACTTAGATCTAAGAAAAGGGACAAACAAGGAACCACTGTCAGTTTTGATTCCCTTAATTTATGGTTTTGAAAGTGCCAGTCAAATTATGCTACCAAAAAAACATGAACGTCACACCCAGCTAGTTGGTTGGGAACCACTAGCTTACAGTGGTTCCCTGTTTGAAAATGTCACACTTGGTTGGAAATGTCACACCCATGTCAAATGTTGAGAAAGTGTCATATGTAGCAACTAGCTCCTTGCTTGGTCACAGCAAAGCGAATACATCATCCTTTCAGAAGCTTTTGCAGCAGTGCTGTAAGCAACGGTACTGTCTGATAGGACGATCAAGCACTACGATAATTGTTATTACCAAGAGAATACACAATATCCTAGGCAGACCCAGAAGCATGGGCAGAATGGCAGCTAATCTAATATCACCATGGAAACTCATCCCAACCTAGCATGTCTCACCTAATCACAAATATCACCTGTCCTAATTCAACTACCCACTATCTAAAGCCCTGAAGTTGCAACGCGTCAGTGAGTTAATCTACAGAGCATGCTCAAACCGCTTACTTGATGACCTTGAACGGCCTCATCATGTCATTATCCTCGTGATCCACCATGTGGCAATGGTACACGTATCCCGGGCCAATAGTCGCATCAAACTTCAAGGGCTTGCCGTTGTTGTCGTGCCAGCCAAGCCAGAGCGTGAGCACCTGACCGGGGTACGCCGGCGTGGTGTCCTTCCATCCGTCCTCAGTGGGGTCGACCTTAACCCGCGGGCCCGTCCAGCAGCGCGGGAGCTTCTTGCCGCGGAACGCGCACTTTCCCGCCTGGAACGCCGCGACGTCGAATGGACGGCGAGAGACGGGACGGTGGTCGACGAGGTGGATGTGCAGCGGGTGCGCGTCGGCCGACAGGTTGATGATGTGCCACAGCTCGTTCGTGCCCTGCGGGGGAAGTTAGTGAAGGGGACAATGCGAGCGAGAGCTTTTGAGACCGTCTCCATTGAAAAAAGGGGACAACGCAAGCGTTGAACGATAGGAAGGATTCGTTGAAGAACGAGTAAGGTCGCATCGTACTGACCTGCTTGGGGAAGTCCGTGGGGGGATCGGAGTACCCAAGGTTGTCGATGGTGATCTCAATGGGCAGGTTCGTCTTGGGGTCCATCTTCTCGATCAGGCTGTGCCACCGAACCTTCTGGATGTTCTTGTAGTCGATCGGCGGCATGTACTGTAATGCGGGAAGGAAAACATCATAGATGTAAGACCCGTAACGGGCTTAGAAAGCAAAAGCACAGGAAGGTCCGGTTTTTGAAGTGGGTGAACGCGCGTACCGAGATGGTGCTGGGAAGCTTCGCGGCTGGGATGCGCTTGCGATTGGTGATCACGAAGCGCATGACAAGACCGGTGTCGCGGTCAGCGGTCACACCAGCGGGGTAAGGCGCGGGCGCGGTGTTCTGGAGAATGACGTCCTTGCACGTGGCAGGCAGGTTGGAGAAATCAACCAGCACGTCCTGGCGAGAGCCCGGAACGAGCAGGTACGACTTCGAGGTCACCGGCTTATTCAAGTAGCCGCCGTCGGTCGCGATCTGCGCGTTATACGGCACGTGTTAGCATGTGCGTTACATGACACCGCGTCATTGCTCGGAAAATTCATGTGCAATGAGCTGAACAGAGGGTACGGGATGTCATCACTTACGCTGACGATGTCGAGAACCTGGCCCTTGAGCGGCGGCACGAAGTTAGGGTAGTCGCCGCGCTGCGCGCAAACGAACTGCAGATTGTAGAAACGCGCGTTTGACGCGCCCAGCATCTTGAACCGGTACATCGCACGGCGGACCTTGAGGTACGGCCAAACCACCCCGTTGACCATGATGGTGTCGCCGATGTATTCGGGAATCCAGTTGGGATGCACGCTCGGCACGATGCCCACGTTCGGGTAGTTCACCGAGCCGTTGGCAAAGAAGAGGCGATCGGCGATGGCGAGCGGGACGGTGCGGGCGGCGGGCGGCAGCCAAGTGTACTTGGACTCGACCTTGGGGTCCGTGATAATGTACAGCCCCGCCATGCCCGCCGCCACGTTCAGCCGCGTCATGCCCGCCATGTGGTCATGGTACCACACCGTCGATGCCTCGTCGTTAATGTACTTGTACGTGTTGTTATAGTAGGTGGGGCCTTTCTCGCCGTACTGCGTGAACCACGCGAAAGGGTGGCCGTCGTAGTAGCTCTGCTGGGAGCCGCCGTGGCGATGCACAACTGCAGGACCATTGGGGACGAGAATGAGGAGTCAGTCCGAATGTGCGCAGGGAGCATATGCATGCGCGTGCCGCATCAGAGCAACGTTGAGGGCACGAAAATGTTGACACGCTCGCTCTTCAATTCTGAGAATGGGCTCACCGATCGGGATGCCCTTCGTGGGAACCTTGTAACCCATCATGAGCGTGGGGTCGACGGTGAACATGTGCGTGTTGTCGAGCAGGTGGTTCTCCCACGTCACCGTCGTGTCGATGCCAACCTTGGCCACGATGGTGGGGCCGGGGTACGACGCCGTCTTCTGACTCGTGCCGTACGCGTACTGCTTCGTCGCCGGCAGATCGCGATGGAATTTCTGCCACACGCACGACAATTTGAAAGGGGGACGTTAAGATCAGACAGAGAGCCGCATTGTGCACCTAGCCATGGAAAGAAGCAGAAGCGCGCTACTGTTGTGAGGCGAGAGAAGCGAGCTATGGTTGCACTGGGTGCTGTGCGCCGTGTGCCCTCGCGCGATGTACCTGGTAGATCTGGTAGGCACCGATGGTGAGCGGCTTGGTTCCATCGAGAGTGGGGATAACGCGCGAGGTCAAGCTGTCCACAAACTTGCACAGGGGCCTCTGGGGAAACGCGTTCGCGCACTTGGGGCCGGCTGTGGCCGTGGGAGTGGGAGCAACGGCTGCATTGGCAATGTAGGCTAAAGCAAGGATGAGGAGAAGAGGAAGCGTACAGCGTCTAACGAGCGCCATGGTGTGACTCGGTGGCAGTAGTGCAAAAAAAGCTACGTGTGCCTGTGTGATGTGAGTGTGTACGGGACTAGCGCCTTGATATCTGGAGAATCAGGCGCACAGTTCCTGAATCAGGCGCACAGATCCTGGGTCAAGGCGGAGGAGGCGGGAGAATTCTCCGAAGCGCGTCGTGACGTGATGTGTTCGTCCCGAAGTTCTTGTCATTTCACTTATCATTTTCACATGCGGAAGGGGACCAACTTCAATGGTGTGTGTGTTTGAGGGAAGGAAATTCTAGTGGGTTCGGGCACGGCCTAGTACGGTACGTATTGTGCGGTGCGGTGTTGTGTGGTGTCAAGCCCTGTTATTCTCTGAACCCCGCACCAGCGATTCAACGCAAGCGTGGAGTGGAGTGGGTGGTGCAAAGCCCCTTATCGTGTGGAGGGCGTCTGCAGCCCAATTGGCACGGTAGTAATTGCCGAAGCGCTACGCTGGAGCCGCGTCTCCACGCATGCACATTGGTCAAGGATAAGTTATCTCCTCTTGTCGGGTTACGAGGTTCGAGACGCACATGCCTCAATCGAGGCGGGGATTCTTGTATCGATGGAATTGAATCGAAGGGTGCCTTGGGCGAACGACAAAACCCGAATGCACGTTTGAATGCGAGCCGTAGTCGAAACCACGAGAATGTTTGCGAAGCTTTTTCCCTCGCATCTTATGCACGCATTGGTGGAACGGGGCTTGTGTCAGTGTGGTAACGATTCCGGCGAAGAGTAACTGCGGCTGCAAAGCATGCGTGCGCTTTGGTCGCTGTGGCTGGTTTCATGTGTGCTTATATGTAAGGAAAATTCCTTCTCCTTACTTCGCGCCCCTACTTGCCGCGTACAAGACCATTCCCACCATCGGCACCCAAACAGTGAAACGTTACCCGCTCACGACACTCGCATCGACTACGATTCCTGCCACTGTTCACGATGCGACCCAACCTCGCGGTTCGGTTGGTAACCCGCGCTCCGGACCTCCGCCTCGACATATCCCAACCTCGGCGCTAGACCCGTAGCGCACCCCAATTCTTCGCGTTACCGTTACCACGCTAGTTCGCTATATATTCTTCGCGCATGCCTTCGCTCATTGTCTTGTTTTGCTTCAATAGTGCAATCCTCGCTCGCTCGCTCAGTTGCACTCGTAACACTTGGTATTCAGAGCCTACGATCTCCTCTCGGACCGCACCCACACCTTCGCTTCCCCACTATCTCGAATTTTTATTTTTAATTTTTTTTGGGGGGGGGGGGGGGGGGGGTGGTAGACGTCTCTCAGCGAACAAGCACCGCCGCTCGAAGTGCTCTCTCTTAAGCACGCACGGCCACAACAAAGGCTCTCGCTGAACTTGCCCGACACCCCCACCATGGCCGGAATTAATCTCGCGACACTGACGCAGGAGCAGCTCAACCGTCTAGTGCGCCAACTCGAAGATTCTGCGTTCGAAATTGCGACACTCACGGCGGAACGCGACTCCGCTCGCCAGCAATCGACGGTGAATGCACCAACACCAAGACATGCACCTGCAAATGCACCTGCATAATCGAAGGAGCCGATCGTCATCTCATCAGGCACACCGACATAGAACGACAGCGTAGGACAACGCTCAGGCGTAGCCAGTGATGGCGCCGC